AATCCCCATTCAACAAAATCCACACATATCATTAGATAAAAGTCCTGAGTCTCATTACCATCCAGGTTGCAAGAGAGTCTGGGAAAGTGAGAACAATATATTCCCATCCCAAACAAAACTGAGGTTCCTTTAGTTGGAGAGCTGAATATGCATAGGCAATCAGCAATGTCTATCATAATATTAAAATAGATATTTTATGTAAATAAAAGAAAATAAATAAAAATAGATAAAAGCACATAGTTGCCTGCTCAATAAAAATTAAGCTGTAAATATTACTGCTATTATCACAGTTTTCATTTTGTAATGACAAAATGATACTCACCTACCTTACCCTCTGGCCAAATGGAATAACTCATATCTATATGTGCTCCTCACATTTCTACTCTATCCCACTGCTCTATCTGTATCTTTCAAACTATCCAGGAAAATGCCATCCAAGAAGTCTCTCCTGAGACCCACTCTTAATAAGTTCTACGGTGGCAGGACCCACATCAAACAACAACACAAAAATCTCTGATGTGCAATCTACTGAGCATAGTACCTTGGTCTGGTAAATAGGGCCTTCATAATTTGAGTAATTCATGCACATTTTCATACCTGATACTTTAGAATCAAACATGGTATAGTTCTGAAATGCTAAAGTTAAATACTAGACTTTTGTATTTAAATAGTTAAATGCTGGCCTCCCAGGTGGCACAAGGGGTTGTGTCTCTGCATTCTGAAGCTATCAGCAGCCACTGCAGCACAAGTTCAATCCCTGGCCAGGGAGCTGACACACATGGCACAGCAGACCTCTCCTGTTTTGCCTGCTGCTCCCCTCAGCAGTGTATTTCAGTAGAGCTGCCTGTTCTGCTCCCCACTTTGTCTCTGGTGATTCTCTCACACCCCAACCCCCGCACCTCTGGCCTACACCCCAGCTCTTACATGCATAAATAAATAAATTTTTAAATAAATAAATAGTTAAATACTATGACATTTCATATCATAAAGACGGGGAGGGAGTGAAGGAATAAGGACTGCATTCTCCAAGAATGAGAAAAAATATATTAAATTATTTAGGCTCACCACACTATTTACACACTGCAAGAGTTCAGATTACAGCTCTTCAAATAGTCCCTCCCCTACTTTGGGCCAGTCTACTACTACCCATGGGTGGGCTTCTCCGTGTGACTTATTATGTCCAAAAAGACTGTTAACAGAAGTAACATCTGCCTGGGTAATTCGGCTTGGCTCTTGGCTCCAATGATCTTCCATGAGAAGAACATGCCCAGTCAGGATGGGCCCAGAAAACAAGTGGAACAGACCAGAAGCCAACCCACAGCCTAAAAGAGTCAGTCCATGAAGCCCAGCCCATGTCATCCAAATCACATTCAACCTGGAGACCTGTGAGTGGACGAAGAAACACCTTCCTGTTTCTGGAAACAACAAATATTGGTGAGGATGTGGAGAAAAAGGAGCTCTCCTCCACAGCTGGTGGGAATGCAAACTGGTCCAACCACTATGGAGAGCTGTGTGGAGTTCCCTCAAACTGCTAAAAATGGGGCTTCCATATGACCCAGCAATTTCATACCTAGGAATCTACCCAAAGGACACAAAAGCATTAATTCAAAAAGATACCTGCACCCCTATGTTTACTGCAGCACTATTTATAATAGGTAAGCTATGGAAACAACCCAAATGCCCAAAAGTTGATGACTGGATCAAGAAGATGTTGTATATATAGTCAATGGGATATTACACAGCAATCAAAAAAGATAAACTCATGCCATTCACAGCAACATGGATGGAGCTGGAAGTGATTATGCTCAGTGAAATAAACCAGAGAGAAAAAGGAAAATATTGGATGGTTTCACTCATAGGAGGAATAGAGGGGAAACAAATAAGGGATCAGGAAAACAAAATAATTAAAATAAATTAAAAAACAAAATTAAGAGGCAACTATAAATCAGAGAACTTCTAATGGGGAGGAGGAGGAAGAGGGGTCAAAACAGGAAAGGGAAGAGCACAGGGACTATGGTGATGGAGCAAGGGTGAATTGGTGGTGGGAATTTTATGGCAATTCCACCTGAGAGGAGAAAGCATATAGTGTACAAAAATGAATAATGATATAAAAAATACATATAAGAAAGAAAAGAAAAGAAATACCTTACTGTTTTGGTAAACTATGACCATTGAGATTTTAATTTTGTGACTTTTCCAATTTAATATAACAATAGGGCCATAATATTTTAGTAGGAGAATTTTAAATTTGATTTGCTTAATCACTGTTGGAAAAGAGTCACATTGTAAGGGAAAGAGAAAGTAAAATCCAAATGCCTTAGCAAAAACAAACAAAAAGATCCAATGGAATGATGTTACCAACCTGTATTCAACTAAGACCTATACGAAAATTTAACTGGACATTTTAGGTATGAGGAAACAAGAAAGAGTATGGATTTTGTTTTGTTTTACCTTCTTTTAAGTCATCATCATTAAGTTTAGATCAAATTTCCATTGGGCCAAAACTAATCTACTGAAAATATATAATATAGTCACAAGATTTGCCTATTGGTAGAAGCAAAAGTCTTCAAAAGGCAAGACAACTGTACATTGCAAAGACCACCAACATCATAGTGGATTCTAAACAGAATAGGCCCTATATATGCCGGGAGAGCCCAAACTTTAGCCCACACACATGAAGACCATACAACCAGTTTGAATTCAAGGCCATGGCCAAGGTCACGGGCTCTGGGTCAGATCAACCTGGACTCAAATTGTTACTCTCACAATAAGCTGTAGCAAAATACTTAATTCCTTTTAACTTTCTCATCTATAATTTGGGGATAATAATATTCTCATCCATAACCTACTGCATAAGGACTCTGCAAGGCTTAAAAAAGACAATAAAAAGTGTAAGCATATGCAATAATAACATATTAATAATAATAATAATAATAATAACAAAAGTAACAGCAATAGTAATAATACTACCTTGACAAACCTGGCTTCTAAATTAAGGCCATCTAATCATTGCACTCTGGCTTACAATCTATTCATGAAATGCTGAATTCACTGCTTTATATTCACATCCAGGTACGGGATCATAAGGTAACAACTCTCTGGACCAATTAGTAAATTTCTAATGAATTCAGGGAAAAAGGGCATTGAAAAATACACCTTTCACCAGTATAGAATCGAGAAGGACTTAGTCCTTCTTCCCACAATCCACCTACCCATGAAAGTCTTTCTGGTGAAAGCCACGCTCTGTCACCATCCAGGCACCACCCTCCTCAAACTGTACAAGGCTTTTATTAAAACACAGAAGCAGACTGACAAGATGGCTCAGCTTCCAAGCAAACTCACCTTAAAAGCAAACTGTTTTACCCTTCAGAAAGGCTCTCCCTTGACCTCACTGCCACCTCCAAATTGGTATGCCACATAAGAGAAAAAGACAGCCCCTCACTTCCAGAAGTTAGCTATATTGTCAAAACTAAAAGAATCCACTCATGCTTTAAAAAAAAAAAAAGTTTGTCTGCTTCAAAAATATCTTATAAATCCATCCAACAGAGCCAAGCAAGAAGTAGTGCATACTGAGAACCAATGTGACTTTACAAAACCTAAAGTGACTATAGGAGACAGTGCCACACCCATTTCCAAATAGCTCACAGCAAATGGTGTCTCTTAGAGGAGCTTGAAATTCTAGAGGAATAGATGGACAATTCTAAAACACAGCACCCTTCTAAACCCTGCCATTTCATTCTTCACACCGATTCATTTCATTTTCAAGTATACAGTCTCAGCATCCCCAAATACTACAACTAATAAGAGGAGGCGGGGAACACAGATCATGCATACTTGCTTCTAGGACCATTTTGAAGAGTTTTCTTTCCACTTGTCTGTCTCTCACAGCTGGAGCCTCATACCTGGTGGAAACCAATGGTTAAGGAAAACCACTGATTTAAAAAGCCAACCAGGAAACTAACCATGGCAAGTGGGAACTGCCCTCCTCTCGCGTGCATTGATTGGCTCTTGGGGTTCCACCGGTCTCCGTTCTGCCCACATAAGTGGCAGGTATGGCTGTCAATCACAGAGGGAACTGACAATTCACCGCTCCGGGAGTAAATTGCTTTTCATCCAGCAAAGGCAGGTAGCCGCCTAAAATCGATCCGCTCGTAACCGAGCGGACCCTCCCTCTTTGACAAGGAGAACAGAGACCCTTAAGTACAAAATAAATAAGGCAGGGCCTACCCGAGAGTTTACGAGCGCTGTTTCATTATCCCGCACCAAAGGCGCCCTTAATCTTCACTGTCCTAAGATGATCTTGCAAAGGCTCAGACAGTAATTTAAAAAAAAAAAAGAAAGAAAGAAAGAAAGAAAGAAAAATTAGGTACCACCCTCTAAGTATCCGTTTTCTTGTATAATTCAGAGATAAGGAGAGGGAGGGAAGCATTGTCGTTCAGTTTAATGTCACATCGTATTCATTTCATTTTCAGACACCACCACCCACCACCCCTCCCCAATAAATCCGGCTTCGTTTTTCCTGACACGGATTTTTTAAAAAACACTCCCCCTCGGAGCCCACCGAGGCGGCCAGGCATCCCACCCCCTGGGCTCGGGCTCCACCTTTCTCCACTTTGTTCTTGCTGGGGTTCCCCCAGACCCCGGCCCCCACGAACACCCCACCCCTCGAGGGAAGAGAGGGCAAGCCAGGCGAAAGAGGGGCCCTGGGGGGGATGAGAGGCGAGGGCAGTGAGGGTGGCTGCCGGGCAGGGACTGCGGGAGGTGGCCGGGGCCGCCGGAGAGAGCCGTGCACTTGTTCAAATCCGGGGGTTTCTACATCCAGGCAAATCCGCCCTTAGGCCGCCCCATCCTATACCCCGCCCCAGAGAGCCCCCGCGGAGGCGGATGGTGCACCCCTCGGCTCCCCCCGATAACGCATTGCAGCTCCCCACGAGCTAGGGGGACCCGGCACGAGGGGTGCCGAGACGCAGCACCCCGAGGGAGCCGGCGGCGCGTCTCACCTTTCCGATGCTCGCCCGGGGCCGTCCCACATGGATTTTTACAACCTCACGTCGCCTTGGCCCCGGGCAGCCGGGAAGAGCCGGAGCGGGAGCCCGAACGAGCAGAAGCGGGAGGAGGAGGAGCGGGCTGGGGAGGAGGGCGAGGAGGAGGGAGGGCAGCGCTCGCAGGGCCGGGGCCGGGCGCCGGGCCGGGCGGGGCTGGCGGCCGAGGGGGCGGCACCCGCCGCAGTCCGAGACGCGCGCTCGCGAGGCGCCGCCAGAGCTGCGCTCCCCGGGCCCCCCGCCCCGCCACTCGGCGGGCGCGCTCTCTCCACGGCCCTGACTCACATTCCCAGCATTCCCGAGGAGCCGCTGGGGGGGTCTGGGCCGGGGCCCCCCCACAGGCGCCTCCGCGGGGGGCAGCAGAGAGCGCCCAGCCCCGGCAGGGTGAGGAAGGCGGGGGGTCTCCAAAGCGCCTCCTCCCTGGAGGCCGCCGGGTTAAGCGCCCCGTTGTCATCTCCCGTAGCCGACGCCCCTACCCGGGTACCCCGCCTGCAGAAGCTGCCAGGCACTCCCGGGACCAGTCAGGTGGCTTCCGGGACAGTGGAGGGCATGCAACTATCTGTCAAGTTGAGCCCTGGAGTTGGGGTCAAGGTTCCCGTACCTTGACACCTTCCAGTAGCTTAATCTTCTTCAGGAGGATGAAGGGATGTCTTAAGGTTTTTGCTTTCTTGTTCATCCAAGGAAAGGAGAGAAGGGAGGTAGAGAAAACAATCATCATCATCATCATCATCATCATCATCATCACCATTATCACCATCATTCATTGACTGCCCCTCCTCTGGGCCCTTGCATGCCTCATCCCATTCAAGGTAGAAAGACGGTTTCTGAGTTCGTAGATACACCTCAGGGTGATGTGCAAAGGAATTTAGGCAAGTTCTTCTTTGGAAAACGCTTCTACCCAGCAAGTCTTGAAACCCCAGTTGCTCCTTTTTTATATTAGGGAGGGTACCTGGAAATGTCATGGGCATCTCCACATTTGGTGGCTCACTGAGTAGTCAGTTTGCAGGATAGAGTGGTGATTTTTTTTTTTTTCCTGGCCTGATGAGTTGGCTTCCAGACTCCTCCTGCTGGGAAGCTCAGACAAAAAAAAAAAAAAAAGCAAATCCAGTATGGTATGTCTGGGTGAGCAAAGTATGGAATCAGCACAGAGGCTAGATGACTCCTCCTTCCCTCCCTTGATGGGAATTCAAATATTATACGAAGGAGTGGACTCTGAAAGGGAAGGATGTCTTACTGTTCCAGTCCAAACACTGTTCTTAAGCCTTTCTTTTACACCTCTGTCTTGTATTTAAGGATTTTCAGACACGTGACGCCGGAGGCCTCTTTGCCCTCATCCTTTTCTTTCGTTCACTCACCAAGAAATCAGACTCATTCTGTTAACCTGGATATTCTAGGTACTGAAGCAAGCAACACTTGTGTAGTTTCCTATGCACACCCTTGACAGCATCCACTGAAAAGCCCTGTTTTCTATAAGAAACCCTTGTTGAGAGTCTTTTGAGAATTCTAAAATCCCATATCTTTTGAAATGTGACCAACATGTACTAAGTGCCACCTATGTGCAGCACTTACTGTTTCTCAACTACTCTCACAAAGACTCTTTAAGATGTTTACTATCTTCCAGCCAACTCAAGTAACATGCCCAGCTAACAAAGTGTTTAAATCTATGTCTACATTTCTCTATTCTTGGCCACCCATCTTCTTTTCCTTTGACCCATGAGTTTTTAGCAGAAATCCTTGGACTTCATGGGGACAATTTCTTGTTTCAATGCCTATGTACATTTACCTCCAGAGATAGAGTTTCAGCAGACTTCTTTCACATTGGATCCTTGACCCAGAAAAAGTTAAGAATAATCACTTTAAATAGAAAGCAACTTATAAGAACAAGTTGTAAGAAAGTTTTAGGGATCTTAAGAAAGTCATCTTTGCCTCCTCTGGGACTTAATCTTTCTAATCTGAGAAATTAAAAAGCAGAGCTAAAGGATCTAAGGATTTCCTCCAGAGCTAAAATTCTCTAACTTTATGTTTAAATATACATTATAGGATGGGGGGTGGAATGTGGATACAGAACCCAAAGTGCTTAGATATACACTACGGGATCGCACCCCGAGGACAGAAAATACAAAACATGGAATAGTTTATAAAACATGTTATGTGACTCCAGGTTTTTTTGTTTTGTTTTGTTTTGCTTTGCTTTGTTACCTTTTCACATCTTTTTCCATTGTGGTTACCTCTTTTCCAGCATGTCAGAGCACACTTTCATGGCAGATATTTTTCCTCATACATTCACTCATTTATTCATTCAGCAAATACTGAGCACCTACTCTTTACTAGTTCTTCTGGATTCAGAGCCCCTACCCTCAAGGACTATACAGCGTCTAAGGGAGACAGATAAGATAACAGGCAATTGCAATACAGCTTATAAAAGGATAAAGCTTTATGAAACCAGCCACACGAGACTGGATCTTTAGTGAACAGCTGCCCTTGGGTGGGGCCTCATAGGCTGTCTCCCCAGTATTTTATTTTATTATTTTTTTAAAAGATATATTTTATTTATTTGTGCATACAGGAACTGGAGTAGAGGCCTTAGGTACAAGGGTGGGGGGGTGAGAGGATTCACCAGAGACAGAGTGGGGAGCAGAACAGGCAGATCCACTGAAATACACTGCTGAGGGGAGCAGCGGATAAGACAGGAGAGGTCTGCTACATCGTATGGGTTAGCTCCCTGGCCTGGGAGCGAACTCATGCCACATTGGCCAGTGACAGCGATGAGACATTAACCCCTGTGCCACCAGGGAGGCCCATCTCCCCAGGATTTTAAATTGAGCCATGAGAATGAGTCAGCTAGCTGTACTGAATAATGAGCTTCTGGACCACGGCAGCCCAAGTCAGATCTACAGCACCCAAAACCATAAAGCAGAAGTCATCAGGAAATGAGGTGTAAGACCTACCAAGGGTCCTAGTCTGCATAGAGGACAATAGACAGTCATGTAGACAAACTAGGATTCCTGAAGGCCTGAAAGACTTAATATTTGTTTACTTTATATCTCCAATGTTGGCAACCCAAACTTGATTTGTCCCAGTCAGAACTGTGGATTTCATGTACCTAACATCTTCTGTCCCAAAGTTTCCTATAAAATTAATTACATCACCATTTATTCCAGTTGCTCCAGTCTAAAATTACAACGATCTCTGATCCCTCTCTTTTCTTTATACCACACATGTACCCCAATCAGCTAGTTCCATCAGCTTTACCCAGTGCCATATCAGAGCCCAGAGCAATAGGAAAACTATTCATACATACATGCATGTGTGTCAAATAGAAAGATTCATAAAAGAAAAATCTACAATGAAAAAATAACTATATGTAAAGCCCCAAGGTGCCAAATCAGTTCTCTCACCATTAATGACCACATAAACCTGCTCAGTAAGTAGATATCAGGGCCAAGTGGTCCTGGAACTGAAAACTGGCTGGAAATGACTGTTCTTGTTTCACAATGATACAAAGGTATAAAATTCTCTCTCTCTCATATACTCTCTCACACACATACACACACACACTTTTTTCATTATGATTTCTTGCATTCATTTCAAATCCAATGATAACAAAGAACAAATACTCATATAGTCCATGCTATGTGCCAGACTCTGTTCCAAGCAGTTTAAGTGCATTGCCTCACTTATTCCTGACTGTCGCCCTTTAGATACCATTATTGTGTCTATTTTACAGACTAAGACACTAAGGCACAAAGCAGTAAAGTAACTTAACAAGATCACACAGAAAGTGTCAGGCCTGAGAGTCAAACCCAGACAGTCTGGCTCCAGAATTAACAAGGTAAAATCAACTGGCCTTAGTGAATGGTTGGATATAATACATGGGAGGAGAGACAAGAATACTCCCACGAGTCTGGTTTGAGCAGCTGGATGGATAACATGCCATCCACTAAGACTGGAAATGAAGTTAGAAGTGGGAGGTAGAGGAGTGTGGAAATTTTAGGAATAATTTATGGGCCTTGTTTGGGGGAGTTTGAATTTAGCCATCCAGAAGGTATCACAGTGTGCTTTGTGGTCAGAGCAGAGATACATGATGAAGAGTGAGAGCATACAGGAAACATCGCCTTTGGTGATTCACCTTGAGTATGACTGAGTAGCTCAATAACAGTCAAAAGCCACAGAAGAATCTAGCTAGATGAGAAATCCCTAAACAACTAACAATTACCTGTCCTTTTTAGGCATGAGGTTATTTGTATACATCTCCTAGGAGGGTAGATTTTAGTTTAAGAGAAATATCATTGCACTGTCATTAAAGAAAAAAGGCCCATGGATGGACACTAGACTTTTGATAGGGAACATAATTAGTATATACATGTGAGACTATAAATACATATACCTGAAACTAAAAAAAAAAAAAAAAAAAAAAAAAAAAAAAACATGAAACAAAACAAATGAACAAAACAAACTTACAGATTATGAGAACAAAATTGTGATCACCAGAGGGGGCAAGGGGTGGAAGGGAGGTAAATCGGGTAAAGGGGTCAACTATACAGTGGTGGGTAGAAACTAGACTTTTGGTGGGGATAATAAACAGGATAAACAGACCTCAAATTATAATACTGTGCCTGAAACCTATATAATGTTATAAATTAATGTTACCTCAATGAAACAAAATTTTCTTACTGGCATGATTACCTACTAACAATTGACTTCAAATGGAATAAGATGTTTGTAAATATGAAAAACCTTTATTAATTCACCATTGACTGTTAATCTGTAACCTTGAGGAATGCAAGTCTTTCAGAGCTTGCAAAAATGTTTATTAAATGTTCATAAAAGGTAAAAATTACTTTAACTTCTTCATCGCCCTGGTTTCCATTAACTTTTCATTTCCATGATTCTGGACACTCATCAAGTCTGGTCTCCTTGCTGTCATTGGGTTTCATGAGGGGGCCCTGAGTCCTTCTGATAGAGACATACCTTTTCCCCCAACCTCAGCTAGCTTGAGTGAGTTTATCTCCCTGGCAGCCTCAAGTACTTTATGAATTGGAAAATCAGATTCATTACTCTTAGAC